CGAGTCGAGCCCCGCCCCCGGCACTCCGCGCCCCCACCTGCTGCGGCGAAGGGCGTGGGGGATCCCGGGCGTGGGGGAGCCCGGCCCTGCGCCTCCGGGGGCCGCTGCCTGCCCTGCGCACCCCGTGCCCCACCTCCCACAGCCCCCGGGCAGCTCTGCCGCGCTGTTCCGGGGCGGAGCGCGCTCAGTGTAGACGGGCCTTCTCCGACCCAGCCCCTCAGAGGCAACCTCACCTGGGGGGGCGGGCGCCCGCGTTTTCTGAGTCGAGCGCCAGTCCCGGGGTCTCCTGGCCTCCTTGCCTGGACGCACGACCTCCAGGCTCCTCCATCACCTTTGAAGCTCGTCCTCACTCCAGCCCTGTGGGAGGGGACCCCTCGGGCTCTGACCGGGAGGGATGGGCGGCGGGAAGCCGAGCGCTCCTGAGCCCCGGCCGAAATCCGGCCTCTCCGCGGGGTCTGCCACGCGACGCTGCAGCAGCCGGGGGCGGGGGCGCGGGGGAGGAGAAGGAACTGGCGGCGACCGGGTGGCCGGCGGCACCTGCCAGGGGGAGAGCAGGGTGGGCGGGAGAGGGACCCCGCCCAGGGTCGAGGGGGCGCAGAGCGCGCGTGCACCAGTCCAGAGCCGGCCGCTCTGGCTGAGAATCTGTGCTCGTTTACACGGCCGGGATAAAACTAACAGAAGGGAACCAACACTTAGGAAGCCAGAGAAAAGACAAGCAGAAGCCACCAGACCCATAGTACTGGTAATAGTGTTTAGATGGTGCCTAATCCAAAGATAATCCAAAGTGGCCCACACCGATTGGGGCGTCACAATGCGTGCACTACAAAGAAATGGTTGAAGAGCCTCTTTTCTAGGCAGAGAAAAATATGATAACCTAAATATTGTATAATGAGATCACTAGTGGCTTTGGCTGCCCATGAGCCCTCCCTTCTCCCAACTCCCATTCAGTGTAAAAACCTCACTTTGACACTTCAGAGGGTCTACTCTGTACTATGGTTATTTCTGCTTCACACCCACCTCTACCTCCAGAGCCTCATACAATTCCAAGTGTGTAATATGCGCTCAATAACTGTTGAAAGAATTAAGGTATGAATCATATAACTGTGCTAATCGTAACTTGGGCAAAACATAAAAATTTTAAATTGTGGGGTCATATTGGAAAATGCTTTAAGTGGTTAGAGCAGTGATGTCCATATGAAGGGTAATAAATGGTAGCTGCAATTGTGTGGATACAATTGCTGTTAACTGCATATATGTAGGTAACAGGCTTAGGATTAGATGCTAAACTAGAGACCACAGTTATCAGGACCTTCGTTAACCTAAAGAATACATAAGGATAAGGAGAGCATGTGTAACAAGCAGATGTGTGTACATCACTGGCAGGACATTCTAATGCATCTTCCCCAAAGAGAACATTTTAGCATTTCACATCTTTAATTTTCATTACAAATTAAGTATTATCAGTTCAGTGGGATGCATAAATATGAACTGTTCTGTGTTGATTTATTCATTTTTATAACATGTTTTCTAGGAAGGAAGACTAAGAGGCCTTAAGGATGCTCATTTTATCCAAAAAAGCTGGAAGGGCAAATGTCTCACCACAGTAAGCACACCGGGATGAGGGTCTGGTGGGCCTGAAGAAGAGTCTGAGCAAAATGACCCCAGGAGTGTTCAGTCTCCCTCCTGGGTGTTTTAGATCAGTGTCTTGGGTCTGTGAAACTGCCTTGGGAGCAATGTGCTTGTCCACATGAGATAATTTGTCTCTTCCATTTGGCAACTGGGAAAATGTAATTTTCTCTGTGTGATGAGCATGAGTGAATGGCTCATGCATAGTGAATGGCCATCCTCCAGATCGTGGGACAAGGGTGTGAAATATGCAGTTTAATATCGGAGTCCATTACTGCACAATGCCGGGGAATGAATAGGAACCAGGCACCTGCCATCACATTTACATCACATGGTGTCCTTCTCCTGTGGATGCTGCTATCAGGAAACAGGTTGTTCCTTATTTTTTACCCCAAGGGGAGACTCCTAAAGAAACAGCTGGCCTAGGTAGGGGTAAATCAGCAGAAAATAACCACACAGAGCTTAGGGGTTGGGAAGGTCACCAGGCATTTTAGGACTTTTTTTTCCTGGGGGAAAAATATAGCAGCATTTCCTCACTGCCTATGACTAGATACCACAAGTTGTACCTCGGTGGAGGCCAGGGTGCTGGTGTCTGTGGTGGTGCTGGGGGACACGGGCAGGGAGTTGCTGCATCATGTAGGAAGATGCCATGCCTGCCTTGCTGAGGGTGTATAGCTATAATTTTTTTTAATATTATTGCTAGAGACTGAATGTATCTCCCCAAAATTCACATGTTGAAACCTAATCCCCTATGTGATGGTGTTTGGGACCTTTGGGAGGTGATTAGGTCATGAGGATGGAGCCCTCAGGCATGGGATTAGTGCCTTTAGAAAGACAGCGGTCTAAGAACCAGGCAGCTGGTTCTCCCCAGATGCCAAATCTGCCAGCAACTTGATCCTGGACTTCCCAGCCTCCAGAATTGTGAGAAATAAATGTTTGCTTAAATCACCCAGTCAATGGGTTTTTATAGCAACCCAAACAAGTCAAGACAATTGTGCTGGCCAAACTAACCTCTCATGACACCCATTTTTTACTTAGAACTAGGTGGAAGATGGGAGGCAATTTAGATTTATTAAACAGTTTTCCCCACCCCTCTCCTTCCACTGCAGGTAGGACTTGGCATCAGGGCCAGTGACTTTGCATGTGTCCTCTCTCCTGGTGCTAAGGACTGGTCATGTTTAAGGAAGCAACTGGACCATTACTCCTAGAAGATGGAGTCTCAGTAGCAGGAGCATAGAAAAAAGCCTGTGCTGGGCCAGGTGTCCTATTGCCTCTTAGGTTGCTCCCTTTTGGGAGAGGTCTGACCTATATTCTCTCCCCCACCCCCAGCCCCTTCTCATATGTACAGCTTAGCTTGTCCAGCTAGGAAGGTGAGACAGGCCTGGGGCTATTCTCACAGCCTGGGACCTAAGGTCTACAAAGTAGAGGCAACTCCCCCTTCACCATCACCCCCAGGCTGCTCTGGAAATGTCTTTTCTCACCAGCAGAAAAATGAGATGCAGGCCTAGATTTGGGGAGGAAAGCAATAGGCCCTTTGGGCTGCTTTAACTATAGGCCAGTGACTCCAAACCTACATGTTCACTAGAATCACCTAGAAAATCTTTAAATTCGCTGAGAAAAAAAGCAATAGGTGACTACAATGACCCACTTACTGAAGTCTGTCCTCATTTGTCATATCCTGCCTTCCCTCTCTTATTGTAAATGAACTGTCCCTGCTCTATCTGAAGTCACCTCCTACTTATGTGCAGGACCCATCCTCTCACTTGTTCAAGGACATCACTCTATAAATGCTCCCCTCTCTCTTTGATCATTAGTTTTTCCTCATTGTGGGGTCATAAGAAGCAGTTCTCAATATGGTTTAATGTCTCCCATCTTAAAAAAAACAATAAAAAACAAATAAAAACTCTTTTGACTCCATTTCTCTTTAGCAGCTCTCCCAACTCTCTTCTCTCCTTTATAACAAATCTTGGCAAAACAAAACCTACCTCCACTCAGTGTCCCTAATTCTTCTCCATCATTCTTTCTTCAACCAGTTCTAGTCACTACTATATGGAAACTGCTCTTGTCAAGATCATCAGTGACCTCCACGATTTTAAATCTAATGATCAAATCTCAGGCTTTATCTTACCTGATCTAGTAAACATTTGACATAATTGATCACTCTTGTCTTCTTGAAATATTTTTTGTTTTCACTTGGCTCCCAGGACACTTCTGGTTTTCATTCAACCTTACTGGCCCCCGAGGGAACAATAAATGCTAGCTACTCAAAACAGCACAGCAAACAGCATAAAAAGTAGAAAAGTTCTAAAGCTATTTCCACCAAATTCACCAACAAGACAGAGATGTCTGCTATCACTATTATTAACATTAAGTGGCTAAAAGAAAGCAATAAGACATGAAAATGAAATAAGAGCTACAACACTTCAAAAGAAAAATTCAAAAATGTATTTGTAGTTGCTATAACTGTACAACTAAAAACCTTAGGACACTAGTTTATATGTATATATAAAGCTACTAGAATTACTAAGAGAATGTGGTGTGGTGACTAGAAATAGTAGAAAGAATGCATAAAACCAAAAACCGTTTATTTGAATAGAGCAATAAAGTATGAAAACTCAAATAAACTTACCATATCATTCAGCAATCCCATTCCTGGGCATATATCCAGAGGGAAGCTCTAATTTGAAAAGATACATGCACCTTAATGTTCATAGCAGCACTATTTACAATAGCCAAGACATGGAAGCAACATAAATGTCCATCGACAGATGACTTGATAAAGAAGATGTGCTATATTTATACAATGGGATACTACTCAGCCATAAAAAGAATGAAATAACGCCATTTGCAGCAACATGGATGGATCTAGAGATCGGCATTCTAAGTGAAGGAAGCCAGGAAGAGAAGGAAAAATACTATATGATATCACTCATATGCGGAATCTAAAAAAAGAAAAAAGAGAACACTAATGAACTCATCTACAAAACAGGAACAGACTTGCAGACATAGTCAGTTTTATGGTAACCAGGGGAAAGTGGGTAGAAAGGGATAGATTTAGGAGTTTGAGATTTGTAAATGTTGGCCACTATCTATAAAAATAGATTAAAAAACAAAATTTCTTCTGTATAGCACAGGGAGCTATATTCAATATCTTGTAATAGATATTGTGTAATATCCTTTAATGTGCATAATAACCTTTAATGAAAAAGAATATGAAAACAAATATATGTATGTATATGCATGGCTGGGACATTGTGCTGTGCACCAGAAATTGATACATTATAACTGACTATACTTCAATCAAAAAAATTATATAAACTCCTCAAAAGGCTTTAGGGAACAAAATAG